GCAGCATTAGCAATGTGATTAGGTACAGGGAAACAAAAATCCCACCCTGACAAGGAGATTTTATGGGAAGTCAAGAGAAATTGTTAATGGAAAATTTTTGAAATAATGAGAGTGATAGAGATCATCTGAATGTTATGTACAAAAGGTAGGAATGATATTTATATTATTTTCTAAACTTTTGTGGGCAAAAGTTGGAACTGAATTTAAAAGACAACCGGGAGGGCATGAATGACAGAGGTAGTTTTTCAAAGAACACCATATTAATAAGAAAAAGTATAGTTCTACTGTGTCTCAATTTTTCTGTCTCATGCTCCCAAACTTTGCCTACTTCTAATCACTTGTCTTGTAAATTTGGGCTTTAACCCCATTAGGAGCTGTGGGGAAAAAAATCAGGTGACTCAGTACACCCATTCCTTTTGTATCCATACAACTCAAAGCAACTCTTTCCATTTTGGTTGGTGAAAAAAATTTATTGTCATTTTAGTACAAGTACAATATCATGTTGAAAGCATGTCTGTGAAGAGTTTTATCTTGTGAATAGTGCGCCAATCTAACCAAGATAGCTCCTGAAGGGCATTAATTGCTACTTTGGGATTTATCCTCCTAATGGCCCCAGTCAGGGAAAGAAAGTCATATTATTCTTTTTGTTTCTGTAAAGGCCCCATTTGCTCTGGGGTAAGGCATCCATCCCCTGATACTTTAAATGCCCCAAAGAGTTCCCATGTTCTGCTAAAAGGAAATCTTTTGGACAAACCCTGCCTTTCTCTTCTGTGGCAGTGATAATCACAGTTATTTTCAGACTGCTTTCCATGGTTAGATTATGTACATTAGCAAAGGTGGAAGAGAAGGACAATTAGGTTAATGTTCTCAGGTCACATGACAACCAGAGAGCCTCCCATCACTTTACACATGATGAGGGCATAGACAGAAAGAGAACGACAGGGAAGGTAGACAAACACAGGAAGGTCAGTATTGAAAGAAGCTGGTGTAGCACTAAATCAGGTTTAGTATAAAGGAGTGAATAAGACAAGAATTAGAAAAATGTCTCTTAGTAACAATGGGGGTGAGAAGAAAGTGCTAAGCCATTCGCTTTCCCCATAATGTTTGACTTAAGGGAAGAGAGAAAATATTTTATTCCACAGTTTATAAAAGCTACCTTTAATAGGATCTTCATTTCCTTCTTTTCCATTAAGAAGAAAATCAACCATAAAGCTTTGAAATTTTCTCTTCCTGAATTCTGTATTTTTTTTTTCATCCCTTATCTTCATCCCTTTTTTAACTTTTAGAAGAGTGCTGAAAGACAGGTCATACAAAATATACCATAAAACTGCTACTTTCTTTTCACTAATGACATGAAATTCAGGTAGCTTTATAAAGGAGGAAAATTATGTCTGCATCAGAAAAAGTACCCACAGCATTTGAATTCAAATATCTTGTGATGTATTAACTCTTATTTTACAGAAATTAAATCTCTTGGAATTTTTCCATTATCCCCCAAAAGGTTAGTAGTCATTTACGTTACCAATAATATTAAATGGTATATAGATGTCTTTGTGCCTGCCTAAAGCAGTCTTAGCCAAATTCAATATTCCTAGCTCTCCAGCTTGTAACTCAACCAATTAGACATCTCTTGTAGCTTTTTAAAGAGTCAAGGTTACAATATTTGGGCCAATAAAAGTTCCCCAAAGACTGCAGGTTGAATCTGTCTTTTGTCATATTCTATAAGAATGTGAGATGAGCAGAAGTGGCAAGGCAAAGCTATATGGGAATATTTAAATGATGGTTTACTGTGTCTTGCAGCAATAACTATATAATAAATAAGTGTTTATTCATTCTATGAATGATTGATAATGCACAGGAGAAAATGAGTAACTGAAAATCAAACTATTAGTATGCATTTAAATTTCTTAACTTTATTTTTTACAAAAGAACAAGATGAACTTGTCATTGGATTTTATGTAATATTTGCATGTCTTTGTTAAAAGTTAGTAAATTTTCTATTCAGAATTTCCCATTCCAAAGTATGGAAATCCTAAAGACATATGATGTAATTATAAGTTATGATTGAGAATTTAATGTCTTAGATATTGTTTTAAAGCATATGAAATTTTGTGGGAATTATTTTTAAGCCCTGTTGTCTAGGTCTCCTAGCCCTGTGATATGCACACTTTCAATTCCAAATGCCACAATTGGACCCCCTCCCTGCTCCAAACACCCTTCCTTTCTCTCTTGCTCCCTCCTTACAGTTTTCTTCGACTCTGTATTTTTTTTTTTTGGTCTTCCAAATTTAGTTGTATTGTCATTTATGTTTGCAAGCATTTTATCACTGAATTGCTGAATCTATTTTACTTCTCAATTAATCAAGACTATTGGCTGTTTTTTGTTTGTTTGTTTCCATAAAGATCACTTGGGTAAGTGGCTTTACCATCTCAGCACTTCCTCTTTTACCTTCTGGGTACCCTTGTGTGGACATTGTGCGGTGGACCACTTCTGTGAAGTTTCAGCACTGCTGTGATTATCATGCGTAGATACCTGTGCTTCAGCTTAGCTTGTTGTGAATATTAATAAATTGATGTGTGTGTATGCATGTGTCTTTGTTTATACTTGCATTTGCATATTATTTTTGTCTGGTAATAAGCTCATAGCATAAGTAAACAAGTATGAATATTTTTTTCTTTCTATAAACATATTCAATTGAAGTTGAATTTTCTTCACCCAGTATTAAAATTTTGAAGTTACTACTGAATTGTTTTTCAACTCATGGTAAATTCTCACCTTTACGTAAGATTATTAATACTTCAAATATTTCTTTCTGTGTAATGACAAAATTGGAAATAACCTGAAAATGCAGAAAAGGGAATACAATTTTTTTTTAAAAAGATTTTTTAAAATGAAAATTTTCTTAGCTGTGGAATATCTTTAATCTTCATTTATCCAAATACTAACTTAGGGATGCATCAAAGAACTCATTCACTTGACAAATTATTGATTGTATCTATAACAGGACAAGTGTCTGAATGAAACATTAAAACAAAACTATAACAATCCTACTGTCATAATGGCAGTATTTGGAAGTGGCATAGATTTTTTTTTTCCCCCAATCAATTTGCAAGGCTTTGATAATGAGTGGGCAATCCTTCAGTTTATATGATTCTTTCTTCAGGTACAGGGAAAAATGAATGATGAAGAAAAACAATGCAAGTTCTGAAGGTTACTTTGTTCTACTGGGTTTTTCTAATTGGCCTCATCTTGAGTTAGTTCTCTTTATGGTTATCCTGACGTTCTACTTGATGACACTGGTAGGCAACCTGTTCATCATTATCTTGTCATACTTGGACTCCCATCTTCACACTCCCATGTACTTTTTCCTTTC